AAAGAACGCGAGGCAGCCTAGGTAGGTAGCGGCTACTCAAATCAACCATCGTTCCAACCTGGAGCACCTCACCCGTGGCCAGCTAACGCGCCATCGCAGAACTTTCAGTCACCTCAACCATGCTACAATTGCGGATCTACTACTCATATTGCCCAGTTTTGTCCGGAACCTCGGCGACAAGTCCCCGCGTTAGTGTCACAATATATCCTGAAGACCTTTATTAGATAATTATCCGAACTGACATGTTGCATTAGAGGCTCCGTGAATCAACCTCCTCGCACCCATCGGATACAGAAGAAAAGTAGCAAGCCGATCATAACTCGATACCCTCATCCCACCCAATATCCCACTACTCAGCCTCCGGCTTATCAACCACCTCAGCCCCAAGCTTATCCACAACAAGCCCAAACACAGACTACTTATTCTCCACAGGTCCCCCCTCAGGCGTATCCTACACAAGCATCACCGAGTCCCGTCAGTCCTTATCCCTCGCAACAACAATCGCAACAGTGGCAGCAACCTTATACTTACAACGCCCACCAACAATGGCCGCAACCCTCGACCCAAACACAGCCACACTATACTCCACATGCGACTGCTGCCTCTCCAACTGCAGCGTATGGACCTCACCAACCGGCAGCATATCAGGGTTACAGTCAACCATCTGCCCATCAATCGCATCCACAACCTCAACAACCACGTACCCGGCAACCATACTATAACTATCTTCAGGGAGCCCATGCACCCCCTGTCCATCCACCGACCTCATTTAACCCTCAGTTCCATCGTCCTCAGCACCAATTCAGACAAAGGCAGAATAACAAACACCGGTCTCAACACCATACACCGTCATTCCAGCAGCAACCGCAACGCAATGCATCGCCTGCTCAAGTTGCTCCCGGTCCATCTCAGACGGCCTCACAAGCAACTGCTAACAATCGCCGTGAACCCCCACCTCCTAAACCACCACCATGCTTTCCAAACACACAGGTCCCAATCACACAGTTTGGTAAATCTGGGAAGATAGGTTAGTGGTCGTTAGTGGTCTGACTCCTTGTTGATGTTTCGTGACTTATTTCATGATTCTCTAGTATACAAACCTCCCGAGCGGGTCGAAAAGCCACTGGCGGCAACCTTTGCGGAGACAGATGCCCAACGCAGTGTGAAAACGGATGACCCCGAAAAGCCAACCGACCAGCGGGTCTTTTCAACCAAATACTTTGATGAGAAGGGTGCCCGCATTGACGGATATGTTATCAAGCCCGGAGAAGATGGAGAACCAGAAGATCCTGTGTACAATTCTGTCAGAACAGGAGGCTCCATGCTGTCGCAGCCACTGGAGTTTGCTTTGTCTGGTGACCCAGAGAAGAATGGGGATGCGGAACTCCAGAAAATGCTTAAGGAATTGGAGTACGAGGCCAAGATGGAAATTTACGGTTCTCTCAATGGAGAGGACAAAAAAGGACCAGAGGAATCTTTATCGGTGGTCTCACGGCCACTTTCGAGGGGTAGCGGCGGCTCAGGCAAGGCTTCAGAAGGTGGTAAGGAAGGGTCTAGGAAAAGGGGCTGGCATAAGAATCTCGAAGATTCATCCCACGATGGTTCTGAAGATCGTCGTCCTAAACGCCCGGCAAAAGGTAACAAGAAGACTAGGGGTAACAGCCCATCTAGCATCACGTAAGTCATCCATATGCCATCCTATTTTGTGAAAGTTCTCTTACCGATCCAGTCAACCAAGTGTTCCCCCACCACAACATCACCCCTTGCCACCAAAGCCCAAGGTCCCCGGTTTTCGCGGCGGGCGTGGAGGTCGCCATCACAGACACGCCCCTTCTCCAGCTCGTCAATATCAGGTTCACCGAGAAGGCGGTAGTGGTGCCGGCAGAAGTGGCAACCAAGGGTTCTCAGGAGACCATATTAGGCCTGTTACTTAATATCCATACCTTTTTCTCTCTTTTATTCTCTCTCTTATTTATGTATATTTACTTTGTTGGCCTGTCTCATCCTCGTCTGATCCTCTTCAATACTCTTCCTCATAGTGGCACGATTGCTTCATAGATAGATCTTAGCTCACTGTCTGTCTGTTTGTTTCCACTGCGCAGAGTGCTGTATAGTGATGAAGATTTTACCCCCTCCCCTCCCCCCCACACGCTCACAATCGCACATACATTTCCCCTAGTATATCCTCTCCCAAGACTTATCATCCCTTTATCTCCCCCTGCCTTAACTAACCAACGACAACGGACTCTTTTTCCATACCATCTCATCCCCATCACTAACCATCTTCCTCCTCCCTCACTCTCCATTTATTTACCCATTTATTTATCTTGCCTCATCCAATCGGAGTCTATCAATGGTGATTTTTGATCCTTTTTTTCTTTCTTTCCATTTTCCGCCTGCTGTGCCTATATTTCTCTTTCTCTTCTTTTCTTTTCCCGGAACGTTCGTGCTTAATTTTCCTCATTCCCATTCCCATTCCCATCATTATTCACGATATATTGCACTTTAATTATCATTTTTTCTTCTTCTTGCTACCCTATCCTACCATGACATTACTATAACCCGGATTTATTCCTACCTACCCACACTGCGTGAATTGTGATACCGATATCCTGGCTATGGACTGTATGAAGTTTTCTGTATTAACCTAACTTGCTGTATTATTTTTTATTCTTTTCTGTTTCTGTTGCTACAGTACCTGTATTTTTTATAAGCTATGCATGGGTGAGTTGAGTTGAGTTGGGTTGGAGGTGGAGGGGGAGAGGAGAGAGGAGGGGGGGGTTACGATACGGTAATATTAGAGGTAAATATTATTGGCGCATGGGAAGTATGATACCGAGTATTATCTATCTAGTCATCTATCTACCTATCGCTCGGAGAAAAAGTGTGTGTATGTGGGGCGTTGTGTATGTGACGGTTGCCGATTCATGACAAGCGGTAGATATGGCGTTGTCGGCACAAGCCAACCTAACTTGGTGAGTGATATCCCATGATACCACCATACCTTGCGAGCAGAGAATAACCAAACTTGATTGGGATCCAGTTATACACGGCACAGCACAGAATAATAGTACAGTGCAGAAGTGGAGATTTTGCTATTCCGGCAAACAAAAAAGTTGCGGAATAGACGGACAAGAGGGGAGTGGGGAAACCGAACCGCACCACCCAATGCCCACTTCTCATGATAATGAAGATAAAACGCCAGCAGAATAAGGAAGGAAGGAAAAGCCCAAGAGCAGAGATTTGAAAAACAAAAAAAACAGCAACCAAATGCACCATTCGTCCAACCAGTTTTACGCCGAAACCATAGAAAAACCCGCAGTCCTTCCTTCCGCAGAAACTAAGGAATGAGAGATCAGGGTGGGAGGGATTCGCCACCTGCCAACCCTTCACACCAACTACACACCACAATCATGTTCTCTCCTTTCTGCCGTTGCTGCCGCTGCTGCTGTTGACGTACTTCCCCCATCCCCTCTCCCTCGATATAACGATGATCTACGCCCCAGCACCTCTCCATACCATTCGCACGCTCAGGCCTGATCACCTGCTGCTCCCGACGGAACAAATCATCACTAACTTCCACCCCGATACTGCACCCCTCACAAATCCATACTCCGGCACGTTCGCACCCACAAACCTTCCTCCTCCTCACGGCCCTTCTGCTCTCGCAGGCGGCGCAAACCCTTCGAAGTCTCTTCCTGAGCGTGCAAGCGCGCATCCAATTCGAAAGGCGCTTGTGCAGGCTTGTATCGTAGACGCATCCCTACCAATCACCAATCAATTCCAATCAGCTAGTTGTTGTCTAGGGGGGTAGGGGGTGGATCAGGAAGCGCACAACCTTACAAACAGCAGTAAAACATCTAATGCACCTCCCCACCTGTAATTCCTTCAGCACGACGGAGAAGCGGTGGTAACCCGTTTGCGAGGTAGCGAAGCTACAGGACACGGGCACCGTCTTCGAGTACAGGTTTCTCCAGTGCGCTCTGGACGCCGTGAAGAGGCTGTACTGCGCGCTTTGCGAGGTCAGGGAGAGGTTGATTAGATCGTCTTGGGATATGTGTGTTGAGAGGCGGGAAATTATGGGGTAGGGGGTTAGGAGGGGTTCCATTCTTGCTCTTTTGCTTTTTTTGTCTTTTCGTTTTGAGAATTGTTGTGAGCTTTGTTGGAATGGAGGAGGGAAGGAGGGAAGGGAGCAGAAGGAGAGGTTTGTGTTTGATATCAAATTGGTATTTGTCGTGAGAGGGGGGGAGGGAGAAGATGAAAGGCGTACGCGTACGTTTGGCCCAAGTCAGATGGTAGGTACGATAGGTAGGTAGGTAATGAGTGTAGGTTAGGTAGGTTTGCACTCTACTGTAGGTTTGTACGTGCGCGCAAGCAAAAGACCAAAACTTATGGATGAAGTTGTGTGATAGAAGGGCGGGGGAGGGGAAGTCAGACGCCTAATATACAAATTTAATAAAATATAACCAAAATAATATCAAACCCGATCCTCTCTCTCCCCCTCCCCCGCATATGTCATTGTATCATAGGTCCCCCATTTACCATCTATCCACTGTACCCTGCAACCTTGTCCTGTGCTGCTGCGCAACATCATACACTACACCAGCGGGACGGTACGATACGTGCCAGCGAAAACGTGGACCAACGGCGTTTCAAGATGAAATGCTTTATGTATGCACCAAATTCATTTTATAGTATGGAAATATGACATACTATTATAACAAAATAATATAATTCACAAAATTTAATAAAATTGACAATCAGACCATCTCTCTTTACTTGCCCTTGTCTTTTAATTATCTATTCTGTACTATCTCTGGTTTTTTGCCTGAGTATGAAAATTGGAGGAGCAGAAAGTACTACTCATACTGTTATGTAACTAATATTAATTAGTATTTAATAAAAAAAAAAAATTCTTTTCAAAAAACATCTAATTTCTACAGTATATTATAATTTCTACATAATAATATTCAAGTTACTTGTGAATACTCAATAGCTTGTATCATATCATAAATATTATAATATGTGTACTTCAAAATATATACTACATATTAGATAGTTTTCAAATTCTATTATGTTAACAACCAATCTTGTAATCAAAGAAAAAAAACCATACAGGTTGTAAAAAGAAGACAGAGAATAATGTCTAGGTTTTTTTTACCACTCTAAGCTTTGTTGATGATACAATTGGATTTGAAATCTTGAATTTTTGGTATAACAGTCTGAAAAGTGTTTCATTAGCCATACTTTGAAATACTAATCAAACCCTCTATATAATAAAAGTAGGTTTTCCAAATCAAAACCTAAAATTCTATTCAATATATACCCTACACTTATATCTTAATTTAAAAATAGACTTATTATCTTAATATTATTGTTAATAAGTCTAATTATATAGTTCTTGGATAAAAGTTATAATTAGAAAGTCTAAGTATGGCCAAAACATATCAAAATGGTTCTAATTCAAGTTAGTAAAAATTATAAATCATATCCTCATTTCTTAATTAATTAAAACAAAAAATATACTAATAGATAGCTGACAACCTAGGGACTCTGAAATCTATATTTCTATGATAAAGTTATTTGCTCTGTAAGTAGTCCTCAGTACTCGGTATGACCTATTCTAAAATCTACTAATCAAATCACTAAGAATTTATATGTGTCACAAATGTGGCTTGGCATGGAAATGGTTTTCACATGACTCATGATTACAAGTCATAGGTATGTTATTGTTTCATGCATATGACTCATTTGGGTCATATAATTTATTATGTTATGATTTGTTATGTTTTACATAAGACTTGATTATGAGTTATAGGACGTATGCCTGGCAAGTGTGCCTTGCGAGTGTACCTTGCGGCACCCCCTTGTGCATATAATTTATGTTTTACACATGACCTCATTATGAGGTCATGGGTTTCATGCATGTGACCACTTGGGGTTATATGACTGGTTTATTGTATTATGATTGATTTATGAGTTTTCACACATGACCTTACTATGAGATCATGGGTTTTATGCATGTGACCACTTTGGTCATATGACTAGCTTGTTATGATTTGGTTTTGCACATGTGACCACTTTACTGGAAGTCTAATACTGCGCAGGGAAATATGCCGTTGTACAGGTGCCGTAATGTCACAGCTATTGGCCAAAGTGCTGTCACGAGAAAGACCAGTCAGTTGCTGATAGCAAAATGGAGATGTGTTCGATATTCGATATATATGACAAGTGTTCACTGAAGAGTGTAAGTGTGTGATCCCAGAAGATGTGCAAGCATCTTAGCTCAGACTATATACAGTTTTGTAGCGCCCCTGCTTGTGGGTTCACACAATACCAGTCACTGTCGTGCGGTCTGGTCAATAGCCCTGCTCACACTCACAAGTGTGCCCTAACTTAACATACCATGATAGGATTACTCCATCACACTTTGGGTCACATGACTTGGAGCGGGCAGAGTGCTATAGAAGGAGGCTGGTATGGCTGAGGAGGATAGGCTCTTTATGCTTTGTTCTAAGTACTTTTCCTTGTCCTTGCTATCGCTTTGCCCCGAGCGTTTCTTTCGCACCCACAATGGGTGTAACCGGTACGGGTACTTGGTTATTGGTTTTGTTTTATGTTTTGTTTTAAGTATCGCTTTGATACTTGGTTTTGTTTTATGTTTTGTTTTAAGTATAGCTTTGATACTTGGTTTGTTTTAAGTATCGTTTGATACTTGGTTTTGTTTTATGTTTTGTTTTAAGTATCGCTTTGATACTTGGTTTGTTTTAAGTATCGTTTGATACTTGGTTTTGTTTTATGTTTTGTTTTAAGTATCGCTTTGATACTTGGTTTGTTTTAAGTATCGTTTGATACTTGGTTTTGTTTTATGTTTTGTTTTAAGTATCGCTTTGATACTTGGTTTGTTTTAAGTATCGTTTGATACTTGGTTTTGTTTTATGTTTTGTTTCAAGTGTCGCTTTGACACTTAAAGAGTTTTACCAAAGTGTATCGATTGATACCTTTGATTAGTTTCGTTCATGTTGAGACATGAACAGATTTGTGTATTTAAAGACCGCCTGTTTCTACGATAGAAAGGGCAGACTTCGACAGACAGTATTTCAATATACTTGGTTGAACGGTTACTTCTTTGTTTCCCAGTACACCCTCGAAGCCTCCTTTAGTTCTCAGCTCTCGCCTCCTCTCTGGAAGAGTAGGCCACCTGCCAACTATCGTATCTATTACCGATAACGTGATTAGCACCTTGCGAATACGTTACAATGGGCCTTGATGCTGAGATTCTGGGGGATATATCTGAGTTCGCTCAGTTGTTCCTGGAGTTCTTGGTATTAAGACCTGTTTGCATTGCCTGGTGAACTACCTGTTTGCACTGTTTCATTACCTGCCAGTTATCTCATGATGATAGCACTTTGAACTATTCATTACAGTTGCTTACCAGCCCCTTTCTGTAAAAGGTCTTTGGCTTCCTGGCTATTATCTACTCCCAGGTTTCGCGTTTGTTTGGGGAGATTGAACATTGTGTTTGGGGGGATCACCCATGTTGTTCTTTGGGCCAGCTCATGTTTCTTCTTGGGTTTTAACTGAGTCCTTAGTTTTCACAATACAAAACGCCCTTGGGTTAGATTGATGACCTTCCCTAGTCTCAACTCGTCATACCGGTCACATCAATCCTTAAGGGAGGGAGCCTTGCAGGCCCCATCTTTCATTTACGCCTCTACAGTCAGAATCCTACCATGTTGTTTATCACTGTTCTCTTGGAGTTTCTGTGCTTGTAGCATATATGGTGGTTCAGTCAGGTATCTCCTTCTCACTTCAGTGGGGATGGCTTTGATCCTAAAAACTCTTACTCCCTGGTGT